ATTTGGGTCACGGATAAACAAAAAGACAGCTTACTTCAGCTAAAGTCTATAAACGGTCCAAAACCTGGTATCAGAAGCTAAACCTCAAGCTTATCGTTAACCTTCGGTCCCATACAGGGGTTAGGCTCCTCCATAGTAAGGGTGCCAGGCGGGCCACATTAGGGGGTCAGCAGCCCATGTCTCAGCTCGTCTGAGAGCTTCCAGTTGCCACACAGTTTGGCAGACCGGGTGTACACCTTGTGAGTCTCTATCCCACTCACTTCCCTGACACATCTGCTGATTTCCCTCTGCTGTCATTTAAGCCTCCCTCACCTGGTACTTAACCCCCATTGGGACCAAAGTCCTGGTAGTCAGGACCGTAATACAATTTTAACCACCTAGAGAGTACTGCAATGTCTCTACAATTGTCCCCCTTAAAGAGACCACTCCCCAAATAATTGGAAAAATATATCTGCCATCCAGGACAAATTTGCGGTGTCCTGTAATAAATATAAATATATATATATATATATATATATATATATAATTTTTTTCTTTTTAATGCCATTCAGGTGGCTGAAGATCCAGAACCTGGAAGGAAGACCAGGTGAAGATGGAAGCTGCCGGAGACCAGGGAGAGCTGGTGTCAGTGCGTTGCTGGAGGGTTCCGTCTGCAGGCAAGTCTGTCATAATGTACTAGTATGCAGTCCTTACTGGTACATTATGACCTAAGCCTGAACGGGGGACCATTTTTTAAATTAAGGTATACGACTTTGCTACCACTTTTAATTTTTTTTCCTTTATCTTTACCTGGTAATGCCACCAATTACACACTTTCTGTCCTAGAGTTACAAACCATACTGTATCTATGAAGGAACAGTGTTGTCACCCTAGGGCAGGACTACAGAACACCCCCTTATTCCTCTTCTCTGTAACATGGGTGGAGGTATATAGTTTAGAAATCGCAGGAAACAATGCTACCTGATGAGCGTGCACAGGAAGTTATTTGTTCCCAAGATTTCTGGCAGAATCCTCAGTAATCTTTTGCACTTCTTGAACAGATATTTCAAAGCACATTGCCAGAGAATGTATTACACTATATTATTGCAATGTAGACACTACAGGTTGATGTTCTACCACAGCTGTCAGTTTGAATTTTACAAAGAGGTGCAAACACAAAAACACAGATAATTTTGCAGAAATGTCACTTATCTGATCCATCCTGTCCTCGGGAGCTTGCAGAAGTTTCCATGATGTATCGAGTGGCTGCTTCCCTTATTGTTCTGAGAAACTGATCTGCGAAGTATCCAGGTGTACAGCGACAGCCGTGATGTCACCCTGTAATCAGCTGCTCGCTGCGTTGGCATAGTAATTAATCATCAGGTGCACTCTGCAAGTTGGTATCCTAACTAGAGCCATGGGAGAGTCCAGCGACTGTGGGAGGAAGTGATAGATTTAAATGTCCTTTCACATCTTCACTATGCAGCATTACACAGCTGTCCTAACCGAGGAGATAGATGACACCTATGACTTTAATCCTGCCTGGGAGCCTCGTCTCTTAACTTGCTTGGGTATGTTTTATAGAAACGAGGGAACAGATACTACCATGATTATATGTTTGCTGTGTTGGCCTGTCCTGGCTGGTTAGTTTTTGGTTTTCTGCAAGGGTTCTTCATGCTAGTCAGGAAAGCATTGGTTGAATTTTCCCAGTTGAAAATGTTTTCAACTTGTTTGCCTTATCTCTTCGTTTTCTTGAGATATACAGTACATATATCATTTTTTTTTTCTGGTGATGCAGGTAATAGTAACAGGTTCACGTTTAAAGTATTTATAAAGCCTAAAATGTTTTAGAGTAGAAAATGGTTAAAACCATTAAATTGTATATTTGTTTTCACGTCCTTATTTCATCAATGCACTTTATGGCAAATGGGTGTGGGGGGACACGACCATCGCACCTATATTGTTGGACACTCCATCCCAGAACTATACTCATAATGTGGAGCTGGTTCCTGTTTACAGCCATAGCAGCCTCCATTCTTCTAGGAAGGCTTTCCACAAGATTGTGGATTGTGTTTTTTTTTTTTTTTTAATTTAAATATTTATTCATTTTCCATACAAAAATACATTTTCCATCATAACTCTCTTATAACATACAAAATCATCGAATTATATCCCTTTCTATCTTTGTTTCCATTCCCTCCCCCACCCCCTATACACCTATCCCCACCCACCCGAAAAACCCCACCTCCCCTCCAATCTAAAACCCACCCACTCTGCATTTCTCCATTACATCTTGTCCTATGTAAGGGGGTACTTTCTCATATCCTACTCTATTCCTTCATATATTTCACCTTAGGCGCAAAAGATTCCCACTTTCCCCACCTCCTGTAATATAACCCCATCTTGTCTTCTTGCATATAATACAGTTTCTCCATCCTACTTATCTGAATCACTCTCTCCACCCAATCCTCTTCTCTCTGCACCTCAGAACTATGCTAAAACGTAGGTATCAGACCCTTTGCCGCATTCAGACAGTACCAAATACCCGAATCCTTGTATTTGTTCACTGATAGCTCTGTACTATGCAACAGACACAACTCTGGATCCAATCCTATCTTTATCCCCGAAATTATCCCAATTAAATGAACCACTGTCTTGATTTTGGATTGTGTTTGGCGGATGTTTTCCCTTTCAGCTAAAAAGAGCTTTTTTGAGGTTAGGTACTGATGTTGGATGAGAAGACCTGGCTCACAATCCTCATTCCAATTCCTCTCAGAGGTGTTCTGTAGGATTGAGGTCATGGCTCTGCATAGGACACTTGAGTTCCTCCACACCAAACTGGTCAAACCGTATCTTTAGGGAGCTGGCCACCATTTGTGAGGTTGGCTAGAGATGTTGGATGAGCAGACCTGGCTCACAATTGGTGTTCCAATTCATCCTAAAGTCATTCAGTAGGGTTGAGGTCAGGACTCTGTGCAGGCCACCTGAGTTCCTCCACACCAAACTCATCAAAGCATGTCTTTATGGAGCTGGCTTTGTGCACAGGGGCACAGTCATGCTGGAATAGAAAAGGGTCTTCACCAAACTGTTGCCACAAGGGTAAAAAATGCACAGTTGTTTAATTCTTTTCAGTAACATTAACAGTACTATTCCCTGGAAACGCTCATCTCGGTTTCGATGGGTGTCTAAATAGAGATGTACGATCAGATGTAACAAGAGACCCAGACTCTCTGTATTCTCTTAGACTCTCTATTACACATTTTTAATATACAGTATGCATTGGTCTATGCACATGAGTGGACTGCTCTAAATCGAAATGAAAATCACATATTAACCGTTTCAATACCGTGCAATTTTACGCCTTCCTGCCCAGGCCATTTTTCAGGTTTCAGCGCTTTCACACTTTGAATGACAATTGCGCGGGTCATACAACACTGTACCCAAACTAAAATTTTATCATTTTCTTCACACAACTACAGCTTTCTTTTGGTGGTATTTAATCACTGCTGGGGTTTTTATTTTTTGCTAAATTAACAAAAAAAGAACAAAAATTTTGAAAAAAAAAAACACATTTTTCTTTGTTTCTGTTATAAAAGTTTACAAATAAATAATTGTTCTTCATAAATTTAGGCCGAGATGTATTCTGCTACATGTCTTTGGTGAAAATAACCCAAATTAGGATGTATTTTTTAGTTTGTAGGAAAGTTATAGAGTTCACAAACTATGGTATAGATCTGAATATTGATCAATCCTGAAGTACTGACAGCCAATCTAATTTTTTGAGGTCAAGAATGTCAGAATAGTACAGATATCCCCAAATGACCCCTTTTTGCAGAGTAGACAGTCCGACGTACTTCATAAGAGGCATGGCGAGTTTTTTGAAGTTGTATTTTTTTGTCATAATTTTTCGGAAAATGAAAAAAATTTAAAAAATAATTTTCACTAGTTTTTTTTTTACATACTGTCACCAGTGCAGTACAGCGTCATCATATAACTGGCATGGCGGTGAACAGGGACACTGACTGGTGACAGTATGAAAAAAAAAAATATATATATATTTTTTTAATTTTTTTATTTTTTTATTATATTTAATTTTTTATTACATTTTTTTTATTTTTTTTATTTTTTTTTCATATTTTACTATGACCAAAGTAGTACAATGTTACCATAGTAACATTGTACTACTTGGGGAAGTGATCAGTATTTTTTTTTTTACACAATTTGCTTATAGCAAAGAATTACTTTGCTATAAGCAAGCATTTACCTGAATGAAATCGATTCATTCAGCTTTTTTTTTTTTTTTGTGCTTAGCTGTGATTTGGTCACAGCTAATCACATGACATGTGCATGTGATTAGCTGTGACCATTCACAGCTAGGCACTAGTATACAATGGATGGCATCATGAATGGCCATCCATTGTATACAACTGTCATGTGACCTGCTGTGATTGGTCACAGCAGGTCACATGGTACCAGCAACCGGTACTCGGATCTGTCATCGGCCGTGTCCGAGGTGCACGGCCGGTGACAGATCGCACTGCTGCACCGCTCTGCATTAGCGCAAACTGCGCATGTGCGGGAGCACGCCAAATGGCATGCACCCGGAGTGCAGAGGCAGTTTTTGAAGCCGCCAAACGGCCATTGGCCGGGCGGCTAATGGTTAAGGCTAGCTTCACCCTGTTGCAGTTCTGCAAGTCACGTTTACACAGGCATGGCAGCCCATTCATTTGAATGGGCTGCTGTGCCTGCATTTCATGCAGGAAAAAGGATCCTGCACCATTTTTAATATGTAGCGGCAGGGAAATCGCATGGTGCATTTCCTGGCGGTTCCTGCACAGATGTGTGAGGGTGCCATTAAGAATGAATTGCAGTCCTGTGTCTTTTTAACCACCTCCTGCCTGCCATATAGTAACATCATGGACACAAGGTGGTTCTCTCGTTCTGGAAGAACATCATATGACGTCCTCCCATTCTCACTGTGAATGCGCGGCTCAGGGAGCACGCAGTGCGGCGATCGCCGGTGTGCTGTTTCCCTCGGACACAGCGGATCACCGTTAACGGAAAGAGCTGAAGATGTCGGTTCGGTCATGTGATCAGCTGTGTCCAATCACAGCTGATCACATGTAAACAGGGAAATGCCGGTTATCCTCTTGAGCTGTCACGCCAACAGCTCGAGAGGAGAGCCGGTAATCGGCTTTCAGCGGAGGGGACATGTGCACTGATCATCAGCGCACTGATGATCAGTGTGCCCTGATGATCAGTGTAGCCCCAGCAGCGCCACCCTGTCAGTGCTCATCAGTGCCTCGTGCCAGTGCCACATCAATGCCACATATCAGTGCCTACCAGTGCACATCAATGCCACATATCAGTGCCCATCTGAGCTGCCTTTCAGTGTCACCGATCAGTGCCACCTATCAATGCCAATCAGTGCCAGTCAGTGCCGCCCTACAGCGCCAGTCAGTGTCGCCTATCAGTGCCAGTCAGTGCTGCCTATCAGTGCCATATATCCGTGCCATGTATCAGTGCTGCCTTTCAGTGCCCATCAGTGATGCCTGTCAATGCCCATCAGTGCCACCTACCAGTGCCTTCCCATCAGTGCCACCTATCAGTGTCAATCAGTGCAGCCTATCAGTGCCCATCACTGCAGCCTCATTAACGCGTATCCGGGACGGAGAAAAATCCCTTATTTACAAAAAGTTTTAACAAAAACTAAGAAACATTTTTTTTCCCACAATTTTCAGTGGTTTTTGGTTTGTTTAAGAAAAAAGAAAAAAACCCAGAGGTGATTAAATACCACCAAAATAAAGCTCTATCTGTCACAAAAAAAATGATATACATTTCATATGGGTACAGTGTTGCATGACCGTGCAATTGTCACTCAAAGTGCGACAGCGCTGAAAGCTGGAAATTGGCCTGGGCAGGAAGGGGGTAGAAGTGCCCTGTAGGCTAGCGGTTAAAGAGCAGCACGTTTTGGATGTGGGTGGTTGCAGGTGTAGCAACCTGCAGGTGGGGGAATCACACCGATTTCCATACCTGCAATAGTATGAACCAAGCCTAAAAGTGAGATGTGTAGACTTCTCAATAACATAGAATCCAACGACACAGTTTATTTGTCTCGTGAGATTTTGGCACTGTAAGATTTCCTCTAAGTATTTATAAGGGTGAGCATTCGGCACAGAAATATTGCCAAAAAGGAAAGCAACGATCCGGAGTGATCCTACTCCCACATACATCATACATAATGTAGTTTGTATCCATTTCCTCAATCGTTGAGAAGTTTCTACACTCCTAAGGTATAACTTTAGAAATAAGTTGCCAGCACACTCATGAATATGTCATCTAAAACATAAATGATGTATAAATACAGTAGAGGCTTGTTGTGGAATTTACTTTGGTTTATGTATTTATTATTCTAGATGACATTTATGAAATTGTTGCTGTTTCACATTCATGTACATTACTATACAAAAATTTTAGCCTGGTATTGAAAAAATGCTGTAAATGAAGTAGAGATGCACCAAAATTCGGTTGCCGGATTGTTTCGGGCAAAAATAGCCCTATTGGGAATTTGCCGATATAAAAAAACGAACTGATACAGGTGCCGAAAATACAGCTGTCAGCTGACATGATTAGGAAAGGCATAAACCTGTCTATATACCTGTCTATATATGGTCCCACAGTTAACAGCACAAACCAAGCCATGAAGTCCAAGTAATTGTCCGTAGACCTCTGGGACAGGATTGTATCAAGGTACAGATTTGGGGAAGGGTACAGAAAAATTTCTGCAGCATTGGAGGTACCAATGAGCACAGTGGCCTCCATCATCCGTAAATGGAAGAAGTTTGAAACCACCAGGAATCTTCCTAGAGCAGGCCGCCCGGCCAGAATGAGTGATCGAGGGAGAAGGGCCTTAGCCAGGGAGGTAACCAAGCACCCGATGGTCACTCTGAAAGAGCTCCAGCGTTTCTCTGTGGAGAGAGGAGAACCATCCAGAAGAACAACCATCTCTGCAGCACTCCACCAATCAAGCCTGTATGGTAGAATGGCCACACGGAAGCCACTCCTCAATGAAAGGCAAATGGCAGCCTGCCTGGAGTTTGCCAAAAGGCACCTGAGGGACTCTCAGACCATGAGAAACAAAACTCTCTGGTTGGATGAAACAAAGATTGAACTCCTTGGCCTAAACGCCAAGTGTCATGTCTGGAGGAAACCAGGCACCACTCACCACCTGGCCAATACCATCCCTACAGTGAAGCATGGTGGTGGCAAATTGCAAAGATTTCAAAACGAACTTCTTTCACGTCGTTTTTGAGGTATTGTTTGTAGAAAAAAAAAAAAATATACATTTTGAAATAAGGCTGTAACATAACAAAATGTGGCAAAAGTTAAGCGCTGTGAATATTTTCTGGATGCACTGTATATGGGGTGAACAGGACCAAGTAGCCCTACACTATTTATTTAGTGGTACACTGAAATGAAAATTCTGGACCGAAACCGAAAATTCAAGATGCATTTGATCGAAAACCGTAATGGACAGTTTAAAAAAAAAAAAAAAGTGTGTGTATATATATATGTGTGTGTGTGTGTGTGTGTGTGTGTGTGTGTGTGTATATATATATTATAGATAATTGTATTATATTTGGCTTTTTAATTAATATCATGAATTCAAATAAATACAAATTTCTTTTCAATACCTTTTTCGGTCCTATCAGCTACTTTCACACTGATTTTAAGCACTTTTACTTTAAAGAAAAGAAAAAAAAAACACTAGAAAAGCTCAAGAAAATGCATTCCTTTAAATTCAATGTATGTGTTCACACTGGTCCGTTGTGCTTCCATTGCGGTATTAAAAATCCTACTTGTTTAATTTTTGGCGCATATCTGGCGAGTTAAGAAAAAACGCAAAAAACATACCCCCACTGAGGCCTGGTTCACACACAACAATACTTTTTTTTTTTTTTTTTTTTTTTTAGTGCTTTTTGCAGAAATGCACTACAGTCCATTTAATATGGTTTCCTATGGACACGTTCGCATCTATGCTTTTTTGAGCTGCTGCGTTTTTGGAAAGGGTCAGGGACTTTTGTAAATGCAAAACATTGTATTTTTGGTTCAATAGACTTCAATGAAGATGCTGCAGAAAATTCATGTAGTGCATTTTTGCCACGTTTTCACATGTTTGACCTGTTTTTGGTGCATCTTGCGTTTTTAATCTGCCTAGCAACAAGTTGCCAAAAAAAAAAAAAAAAACAGTCAAAAAACAAAACGCACCGCAAAATGGACAAAACATGCATTGGTGTGAACCAGTCTGATCTGCATTGAAAACTCAGCAAAAACTTTTTTTTTTTTTTTTTTTTAGTTACATGACCTATGAAAAATGCACCATAAATGTGGTAAAAAAACACTGCAAAATCACAGTGGCTAAGTGGTTAACACTTCCACCTGGCAGTACTAGGGTCTTTGGTTTCGAATCCCAACCACAGCACCACCTGGCTGGAGTTTGCATGTTCTCCCTGTGCCTGTGTGGGTTTCCTCCAGGTACTCCAGTTTCCTCCCACACTCCAAAGACATGCTGGTAGGTGAATTGGCTCCTGTCTAAATTGTCCCTAGTATGTGTATGTATGAATGTGAGTTAGGGACCTTAGATTGTACGCCCCTTGAGGGTTAGGGACTGATGTGAATGTACAATATATATGTAAAGCGCTGCGTAAATTGATGGCGCTATAAAAGTACCTGTAATAAAAAAAAATTGTGCGTTTTTCGGTGGCCGTTATCGCCACCTTTTTTTTCCTATTGGCAGAATGCCGATAATCCTAATTTCGACCGCTGATATTTCAGTGCGTTCCTTCTATGTTTCTTTAATGTCGGATTGCAAAACAGAAAATTGCGTCAATACCGTAATTTTTTCCTTTCCTGGCAGCCTACTACCAATGTTATTGGGGCCAGGAAAATAATTCCGAGAACCAGCTGCACAAGTGAGACCTTTTTTAACGGCTTTATGTGTGACAGTGGGTGGTGTGTAATGTCAATGCATACAAAAACACACATTGATGTCATAAAACATTGTGGACAAAAGCCATCTAAAGCCAACAGTCATTTTATATGTGTAGACCCAACAAAGTTGATCCAGCGAATATCCGATTGCCTCTCGGGGGATCAGGAAGGATTTTTTTTCCCTGCAGGATCAAATTGGATCATGCTTCGCTGTTTTTTTTTTGCCTTCCTCTGGATCAACTGTGGGTATAGGATTATAACCTTTTTTTTTTTTTCTATTTTTTTCTATGGTTGAACTGGATGGACTTTTTGTCTTTTTTTAGCCAGACTAACTATGTAACAGGACGTGAGAAGAAATCTCTCCAAGGAAAAATCTTGTTTTGTCACTAGAATTGGCATCTCCATTGGCAGATATTCCCTCTATTTAGGTTCCAGAGACAACTGTAAAATTTTACATTTCCTGTCTATTTTCTTGATACGGACCATCAGGGAAAATAGAGCAAGTGAATCTCCACAGGGGGGATGCAGAACTCCATAAAAAAACCTGATAGGTGGTTGTAATCCTGCACTACTTTATCCAAGACTAAAATACAAAACATTTAGATGTACTTAAAAAATAATAGCTGTACTTTCTGTATGGTTATCCTTTAACCACTAGCCTACAGGGCACTTCTACCCCTTCCTGCCTACAGGGCACTTCTACCCCCTCCCTGCCTACAGGGCACTTCTACCCCCTTCCTGCCTACAGGGCACTTCTACCCCCTTCCTGCCTACAGGGCACTTCTACCCCCTTCCTGCCTACAGGGCACTTCTACCCCCTTCCTGCCTACAGGGCACTTCTACCCCTTCCTGCCTACAGGGCACTTCTACCCCCTTCCTGCCTACAGGGCACTTCTACCCCCTTCCTGCCTACAGGGCACTTCTACCCCCTTCCTGCCTACAGGGCACTTCTACCCCCTTCCTGCCTACAGGGGCACCTATACCCCCTTCCTGCCTACAGGGCACTTCTACCCCCTTCCTGCCTACAGGGGCACTTTACCCCCTTCCTGCCTACAGGGCACTTCTACCCCCTTCCTGCCTACAGGGCACTTCTACCCCCTTCCTGCCTACAGGGCACTTCTACCCCCCCTTCCTGCCTACAGGGCACTTCTACCCCCCTTCCTGCCTACCCTTCCTGGGCACTTCTACCCCCTTCCTGCCTACAGGGCACTTCTACCCCCTTCCTGCCTACAGGGCACCTATACCCCCTTCCTGCCTACAGGGCACCTATACCCCCTTCCTGCCCTACAGGGCACACTATACCCCCCTCCTGCCTACCGGGTACTTCTTACCCCCTTCCTGCCTACAGGGCACTTCTACCCCTTCCTGCCTACAGGGCACTTCTACCCCCTTCCTGCCTACAGGGCACTTCTACCCCCTTCCTGCCTACAGGGCACCTTCTAAACCCCCTTCCTGCCTACAGGGCACTTCTACCCCCTCCTGCCTACCGGGCACTTCTACCCCCTTTGCCTACAGGGCACTTCTACCCCCTCCTGCCTACAGGGCACTTCTACCCCCTTCCTGCCTACAGGGCAGTTCTACCCCCTTCCTGCCTACAGGGCAACTTCTAACCCCCTTCCTGCCTACAGGGCACTTCTACCCCCTTCCTGCCTACAGGGCACTTATACCCCCTTCCTGCCCAGGCCAATTTCCAGCTTTCAGCGCTGTTGCATTTGAATGACAATTGCGCGGTCATGCAACACTGCCCATATGAAATTTTTATCATTTTTTTTGAGACAGATAGAGCTTTCTTTTGGTGGTATTTAATCACCTCTGGGTTTTTTTTATTTTTTCTTCTTAAACCAAAAACCACTGAAAAATTAGAAAAAAAAAACATTTTTTCTTCGTTTTTGTTATACAATTTTGTAAATAAGTGATTTTTCACTGATGTGCGCTAATGAGGCTGCAGTGATGGGCATTGACAGGCATCACTGATGGGCACTGAAAGGCAGCACTGATACATGACACTGATATATGGCACTGATAGGCTGGCACTGTTAGGCGGCACTGACTGGCACTGTTAGGCAGCACTGATTGGCATTGATAGGTAGCACTGATTGGTGACATTGAAAGGCAGCTCAGATGGGCACTGGTATATGTGGCATCTATGTGCACTGGTATGCGCTGATATGTGGCATTGATGTGGCACTGATGGGCACTGGCACGTGGCACTGATGAGCACTGACTGCTGGCACTGATGGACACTGACAGGTGGCACTTCTGGGGCCACACTGATCATCAGGGCACACTGATCATCAGGGCACTGATGATCAGTGTACATGTCCCCTCTGCGGAATGCCGATTACCGGCTCTCCTCTCCTCTCGAGCTGTCAGCGTGACAGCTTGTCTGAGAGGAGGGAAATGCCGATAACCGGCATTTCGGTGTTTACATGTGATCTGCTGTGATTGGACACAGCTGATCACATGACCGAACCGACATCTTCGGCTCTTTCCGTGATGCGCTTGTGTCCGAGGGACACAGCGCAGCGGCGATCGCCGCGCTGCGCGCTCCCTGAGCCGCACATGCGCGGCGAGAATGGAAGGACGTCATATGACATCCTATCAGAATGAGAGAACCACCTTGTGCCCGTCATTGTACTATAGGGTGGGCGGAAGGTGGTTAAATACCTTCTGTTCCCCCATCCCTAGCTTCTCAGGGTCTTATACCTACCGGCAATCCTAGTAAATCATGTCCCCACAGGGAACCGCACAGTTGGCACTGGAAACCCTCCTGGTCAATCCTGACATGCGTGCACAAAACCGCATTCATTCCAAAGAAGAAGCCTTCTATCAGGCAGCTCACTGATAGATGGCTTCTCTGTAGGAATAAATGGGAAGACTTTGAGGCCCGGATGAGAGAGTTATCCTGGCAGTACTCGGGTTGTTGGTTCGAATGCCAACCACAGCACCTCCTGCCTGGAGTTTGCTGTTCTCCCTGTGCCTGTGTGGGTTTCCTCCAGGTACTCTGGTTTCCTCCAATACTCCAAAGACATGTTGGTAGGTCAATCGGCTCCTGTCTAAATTGGCCCTAGTGCGTGAATGTGAGTTTGTAAGCTCCTTGCGGGTTAGGGACTGATGTGAATATACAATAGATAGAGATAGAAGGATAGATATAGAGATAGATATACAGGTGAAACTCGAAAAATTTGAATATCGTGCAAAAGTTCATTTATTTCAGTGCAGCAACTTAAAAGGTGAAACTAATATATGAGATAGACTCATTACATGCAAAGCAAGATAGTTCAAGCCGTGATTTGTCATAATTGTGATGATTATGGCTTACAGCTCATGAAAACCCCAAATCCACAATCTCAGAAAATGAGAATATTGTGAAAAGGTGCAATATTCTAGGCTCAAAGTGTCCCACTCTAATCAGCCAATTAAGCCATAACACCTGCAAACGGTTCCTGAGCCTTTAACCACTTGAGCTCCAGAGGATTTACCCCCTTAATGACCAGGCCTCTTTTTGCTACTCGGCGCTGCACTAATTCAACTGATTGCGCGGTCATGCAATGCTGCACCCAAACAAAATTTACGTCCTTTTTTTCACACAAATAGAGCTTTCTTTCGGTGTAATTTGATCACCTGTGCGCTTTTTATTTTTCACGCTATAAACAAAAAAAGGCCAAAAATTTTGAAGAAAAAAAATATTTTTATTTTCAGCTATAAAACATACATAGTAAACTCAAAGTTGGTTATAAATTTAGGCCAAAATGTATTCTGCTCCATGTTTTTTGGTAAAAAAAATCCCAATAAGTGTATATTGATTGCTTTGTGTGACAGTTATAGCGTCTACAAACTATGTATAAATACTGCAATTTACGCCATTGTTTTGCTATACAGCGCTGCGCTAGCGCTTTTAACGGACAATTGCGCGGTCATGCAATATGGTACATAAATGAAATTTACATCCTTTTTTCCCCACAAATTGAGCTTTCTTTCGGTGGTATTTGATCGCCTTTGCGGTTTTTATTTTTTGCGCTATAAAAAAAAAAAGGCTGACAATTTTGAGGAAAAAAAAACAATATTTTGGACTTTTTGCTATAAAACATGTCCAGTAAAAAAAAATGCAAAAATCAAATTTAGTCATAAATTTCTGCCAAAATGCATTCTGCGACATGTCTTTGCTAAAAAAAAAACCCCAATACGTGTAAATTAATTGGTTTACAAGTGAAAGTTATAGCGTTTACAAATGGCGGGAAAGATACTGGGATTTTTAGGGTTTTTTTTTATTCTAATCATGGCGGCGATCAGCGAATTATGGCGGCGATCAGGGACTTATGGCAGCGACCAGCAACTTATGGCGGGACTGCGGCAGACATTTTGACATTGGGGGGTATTGACTTGGGGTCACTGACATCCCCAAAAACACTAATACAGTGATCAGTGCAAAAAAAAAAAACACTGACACTGTACTAATGGCACTGGGGAGGAAGGGGTTAACTTTATTTTGCAGGGAAGGGTTATAGGAGTGAGGGGAGTGTTTTACTAGGGGGCGGGGGTGTGTGCTGGGCGGGACAAGGCTGATTGAGAGAGAGAAACTCTTCTTTCTTGATCAGCTCATCCTCGAGCTGAGAAGGAAGTGACAGACAGCACAGCTACTGCAGCTGTGCTCTCTGTCACTGTTTGCCGCCGATCGCCGGACATAGCCGCTAAGGAGCGGCTGTGACCCGGCGACTGACATCTACGGCGGTGATCCGCGGGACACATAGGGCGGCGGCGCTTCGCGCGTGCCCCCTATTTGTTTACAAAACACACGTCTTAAAACGTGGTTTTGCCTGTGAGTGCCGCCCTGCCGCCGTATATGTACAGTGGCTGGGCGGCATGCGGTTAAATGGTCTCTCAGTCTGGTTCAGTAGGAATCACAATCATGGGAAAGACTGCTGACCTGACAGTTGTGCAGAAAACCATCGTTGACACCCACCCGTCACCATTTTTCTCTTGGTGTCAGAAAAGCTTGTCAGAAGTGACTCATGCTGATAGCAGAGGAATGAGGCGGCAGACAGAAATGACAGCGCTCTGGATTGCGACAAATACACACTATAGGTGGATATGCTTTGTTCATATTTCATGTCTGAGGTTTACAACCACTGTAAGCCCTGTGTACACAGATACTGAATACAATATACTCTCTCCAGGTATCGTTCTCTGGAACTGACTTTGCCATTGCATTGCATTTTAAAGCTGAATTCCAGGCAAGCTGCTAAACTGACAGATGAAATGCATATAACAGAGCTGTTTTGCCCTGTCAAATGATCTAGCTCTGAGAATTACACAGCTCTGCCGCACAGCACAGCCCTCTCTGCTGCATTTCATGTCTCCTCCCCACCATGTGTGACGAAGAAGCAGCACAGTGATGATATATATTATAATTATAATTATTATATTATACAGGGTTTATATGGCACCAACAGTTTACAAAATGAAAGACATTACAGTTACAATACAATTTGGTACAAGAGAGAATCAGAAGGCCCTGCTCAAGGTTACAGTCTAAGAGTGATGAGCTCATCTTTCTCACTCTGCTCTCCCCTCCTGTCAGAATGCTGCTTGCATTGAAATACACCTGATTGGCTCTTTGTGCTGCTTCTCCCTACCCCTCTCTGGACTCTGCCATGCAGTAGACTGCATGAGGCTATTTTTAAAAAGAAAAAAAAAGAGGCTCATATTAAAAATAAATTTAAAGTTTTACTAAGCCCACAACAGTACAATCAGTCTGTATATGCAGTAAAACATGCTTGTTATACTCACTGTGGAACCTAAGGGGTTAATCCTCCGCATTGTGTAAAACGGCCATTTGATCCTTATTACTCTGTTCCTCCCCTTGTTTAAGAGATCACTTATCTCCTGATAAGACAGACTGAACCGTAGGGATCTTGCACATGCTTAGTTTGGTGTGTATTGCTAGAGAGGTTTTTATTTTTCCTTGGGAGATTGCATGTGGTCAGCTCTGGCCAGACAGAGGTCAGGGGTTCTGTATCCTCCTAGAGCAAAAAGAAAATTCTTCCAACAAGCTTTAGCTAGTGCTGGGCTGGACACTGATAGAAGTCACAAGACTGCTCTAACTGCTGATGAGAAAAGGTATTTAGCAGTTTTATATTTACTAAAATAATTGCATTTCCATGTTGTGTGTACTGTGGGAGAAAAGATATAGTGAATGCAAGGTCCGGGGAGAGCCAGATATAGTGAATGCAGGGTCCGGGGAGATCAGATATAGTGAATGCAGGGTCCGGGGAGACCAGATATAGTGAATGCGGGGTCCGGGGAGAGCGGATATAGTGAATGTGGGGTCCGGGTGTATAGAGAGCGGATCTAGTGAATGCGGGTTCCGGGGAGACCAGATATAGTGAATGCAGGGTCCAGGGAGACCAGATGTAGTGAATGCAGGGTCTGGGGAGACCAGATATAGTGAATGCAGGGTCCAGGGAGACCGATATAGTGAATGTAGGGTCCGAGGAGACCAGATATAGTGAATGCAGGGTCCGGGAGACCGGATATAGTGAATGTAGGGTCCAAGGAGACCAGATATAGTGAATGCAGGGTCTGGGGAGAGCAGTATAGTGAATGCAGGGTCCGGGAGACCGGATATAGTGAATGTAGGGTCCGAGGAGACCAGATATAGTGAATGCAGGGTCTGGGGAGAGCAGATATAGTGAATGCAGGGTCCGGGGAGAGCGGATATTAGTGAATGCAGGGTCCGGGGAGACGGATATAGTAAATGCGGGGTCTGGGGAGAGCGTATATAGTGAATGCGGGGTCTGGGGAGACCGGATATAGTGAATGCAGGGTCCGGGGAGAGCGGATCTAGTGAATGCGGGGTCCAGGGAGAGCGGATCTAGTGAATGCGGGGTCCGGGGAGAGCGGATCTAGTGAATGCGGGGTCCGGGGAGAGTGGATCTAGTGAATGCGGGGTCTGGGGAGAGCGGATCTAGTGAATGCGGGGTCCGGGGAGAGCGGATCTAGTGAATGCGGGGTCCGGGGAGAGAGCGGATCTAGTGAATGCGGGGTCCGGGGAGAGCGGATCTAGTGAATGCGGGGTCCGGGGAGAGCGGATATAGTGAATGCAGGGTCCGGGGAGACCATATATAGTGAATGCAGGGTCCGGGGAGACCATATATAGTGAATGCAGGGTCCGGGAGACCATATATAGTGAATGCAGGGTCCGGGGAGACCATATATATAGTGAATGCGGGGTCCGGGGAGAGCGGATCTAGTGAATGCGGGGTCCGGGGAGAGCGGATATAGTGAATGCGGGGTCCGGGGAGAGCGGATATAGTGAATGCGGGGTCCGGGGAGAGCGGATATAGTGAATGCGGGTCCGGGGAGAGCGGATATAGTGAATGCAGGGTCCGGGGAGAGCGGATATAGTGAATGCAGGGTCCGGAGAGGGTCCGGATATAGTGAATGCAGGGTCCGGGGAGACCATATATAGTGAATGCAGGGTCCGGGGAGAGCGGATCTAGTGAATGCAGGGTCCGGGGAGAGCGGATATAGTGAATGCGGGGTCCGGGGAGACCAGATATAGTGAATGCGGGGTCCGGGGAGAGCGGATATAGTGAATGCAGGGTCCGGGGAGACCAGATATAGTGAATGCAGGGTCCGGGGAGAGCGGATATAGTGAATGCAGGGTCCGGGGAGAGCGGATATATAGTGAATGCAGGGTCTGGGGTTTAGGAACACTTTAAATAATCTATCTAATTGATAAACACGCCGCCTTAATTTGAGTTCTGTATAAAAGGTACATTTTTACAATAATCAGAAATGACATTTTGCTCCAATTTCTCCATGCTTTCCTTCTTAATAAGCCTTGCATGGTTTTGTGTGATGGTGATGATATAATTTCACGCTTGGATACTGGGAAATGATAACATCAGCTGGTGATATTTATTTTGTACAGCTGGGAGCGCAGGTGACTGACTCCTCTGGAGGCTCGGCTGTATTTGTTTCCCAGGTTGTACATTGGAGGACTCGCCTTATTGCCATCTGTTATAATCTTAACAGCGTCTTTCTGGGGTGAGCAAAGGTTGATGGTGGGTTTTTTTTTTTTTTTTTTCCCCAGCCAGTGATCTAGGATGGAGAAAACACGCCATAATTTTCAGATTTTTATTTTCTATGGATACTGTCTCCATAAAGGGAATGAGCCGTGGTTTTCTTTCTTTATTATGATGGGGACACATATTATATCAAACGTGTTTTTTTTAATATTCTCTGCTGCAACACCTGTGCGTGCCTCAACCTCCGCTGGTTGAGCTATTGATTGCAGTAAACCCTGGAAGACCTCCAGCTGTCAAAATATATATTTTTTTGGGGGGGCTCATTTACACCTGCAGTTGGGGAAGGGGGTGGTATTAATATTCTGTTGGGCTGTGTTTTTATCTCCCCTCAACTACTCACTCTTAGTTGCATCATTTTTTTTTTTTTTAAGATTAATAAACATGTCATACTTACATGCTCTGCGCAGTGGTGTTGCTGCCCTCTCTTGGAGTCACCTGCCAGTACTCTTGGCTCCAGCTCTTTGGCGAGTGCCCCTATAGGAAGTCACTTTTTTGGGGACACTCGGGCAGGCCCGATCCAGAGCCCTGGCCAATGTACACTATATTGCCAAAAGTATTGGGACGCCCGCCTTTACACACACATGAACTTTAATGGCATCCAGGTTTTAGTCCATAGGGTTCAATATACTTTATTATATTTATAAACAATATAGGGTCTGGGATTGAAAATCCCATTTCAGTCTTTGCAGATGACACCAAGCTGTGCAGTGGAATAATGTCCTTACAATTTACAAGCCGACCTCAATGCTCTGTGTAATTGGGCAACTATGTGGCAAATGAGGTTTAATGTTGATAAATGTAATGTTCTGCACTTGGGGGCTAAGAATATGCATGCATCATACATACTAGGGGGGGTACAACTGGGGGAATCAATGGTGGAGAAGGATCTGGGAGTTCTGGTAGATCACAAGCTTAATAATGTCATGCAATGCCAAGCTGCGGTTTCTAAAGCGAGCAAAATCCTCTCTTGTATTAAAAGAGGTATAGACTCCACGGAGGAGAGAGATATTTCCCCCGATACAAATCATCGCCATGTATAATACATAAGGGGGGATATGATCTCCATGTATAATACATAAGGGGGGATATGATTTCCATGTATAATACATAAGGGGGGATATGATCTCCATGTATAATACATAAGGGGGGATATGATCTCCATGTATAATACATAAGGGGGGATATGATCTCCATGTATAAATACATAAGGGGGGATATGATCACCATGTATAATACATAATATGATTTCTCCAGGGGGGGATATGATCTCCATGGGGGGATATGATATGTATAATATACATAAGGGGGGGATATGATCTCCATGTATAATACACAAGGGGGGATATGATCTCCATGTATAATACATAAGGGGGGGATATGATCTCCCATGTATAATACATAAGGGGGGGATATGATCTCCATGTATAATACATAAGGGGGGGGATATGATCTCCATGTATAATACATAAGGGGGGACATGATCTCCATGTATAATACATAAGGGGGGATATGATCTCCATGTATAATACATAAGGGGGGATATGTATCTCCATGTATAATACATAAGGGGGGATATGATCTCCATGTATAATACATAAGGGGGGATATGATCTCCATGTATAATACATAAGGGGGGATATGATCTCCATGTATAATACATAAGGGGGGATATGATCTCCATGTATAATACATAAGGGGGGATATGATCACCATGTATAATACATAAGGGGGGGATATGATATGATCTCCATGTATAATACATAAGGGGGGATATGATCTCCATGTATAATACATAAGGGGGGATATGATCACCATGTATAATACATAAGGGGGGATATGATCTCCATGTATAATACATAAGGGGGGATATGATCACCATGTATAATACATAAGGGGGGATATGATCTCCATGTATAATACATAAGGGGGATATGATCTCCATGTATAAATACATCAGTGGTTCATATAGTGAACTCGGTGTAGAGTTATTCACCCTGAGAACATCACAGAGGACAAGGGGGTGCTCTTTACATCTGGAGGAAAAGAAATGTAATCTCCAAATATGGAAAGTTTTCTTCACAGTGAGAGCTGTGAAAATGTGGAATAGACTCCCTTAAGAGTTGGTTCTGGCCAGCACAGTGGATTGCTTTAAGAAAGGCCTGGATTCTTTCTCGGATACACAGAATATAACTGGATACTAACATTTACAGGTAAATTTGATCCAGGGAATATCCGATTGCCTCTCGGGTTGAGGTCAGGACAGTCAAGTTCCTCCACCCCAAACTCGCTTATCCATGTCTTTATGGACCTTGCTTTGTGCACTGATGTGCAGTCATGTTTGAACAGGAAGGGGCCATCCCCAAACTCTTCCCACAAAGTTAGGAGCATGAAATTGTCCAAAATGTCTTGGTATGCTGACGCCTTAAAGTGTTACTAAACCCTGGACCCTGCATTCACTATATCTGGTTTCCCACAGAACACACAACATGGAAATGCAATTATTTTAGTAAATATAAACTGCTAAATAACTTTTCTCATCAGCAGTTAGAGCAGTCTTGTGACTGTGGCAGAGCACTGGTTAAAGCTTGTAGGAAGTTTTCTTTCTGCTCTAGGAGGATGCAAAACCCCTGACCCTCTGTCTGGACAGTGCTGATTGGCCCTGTACTGATCACATGCACTCTCCCGAGAAAAAAAGCCTCTCTAGCAATACACACCAAACTGAGCACGTGCGTGTGACTACGTGTTCAGTCAGTCTGTCTTGTCAGGTGGACATTTGAACAAGAGGAGGGGCAGGGAAAACAGGACCGAACAGCCTTTTTACACAATGCAGAGGATTAGCCCCTTAGGTTCCACAGTGAGTATAACAAGCATGCTTTAGTGCATATACAGACTGATTTTACTGTTGTGGGTTTAGTAACACTTTAAGAGTTCCCTTCACTGAAACTAGGGGGCCAAGCCCAACCCTTGAAAAACAACCCCACACCATAATCCCCCCTCCATCAAACTTTACACTTGGTACAATGCAGTCAGGCAAGTATTGCTTTCCTGGCAA